ACAGCCAACATTTACAATGTCATACAATAAATTTCAATTCGAAATCATCACAACATCCTGTGTAACAAACACCATTCTCTCTTCTGGATTAGCAAATATTTCATATGATAAACGTACAATACAAGCTTCCAGTGTTGAATCAAGTGCCGTTCCCACAGTGATGATTGGTTAAAGTGGATATCCAACACGCTGTCTTTTGCCTTGGACGTAACACTCTCTTGACTACTGTTTGTTGGTTACAATGGATATCCAACTTTTGCCTTGGACGTAACACTCTCTTGACTACTGTTTGTTGGTTACAATGGATATCCAACTTTTGCCTTGGACGTAACACTCTCTGACTACTGTTTGTTGGTTACAATGGATATCCAACTTTTGCTTTGGATGTAACACCCTCTGACCACTGTTTGTTGGTTACAATGGATATCCAACTTTTGTCTTTGACGCAACACTCTCTTACTATTGTTTGTTGGTTACAATGGATATCCACCTTTTGCCTTGGACGTAACACTCTCTGACTACTGTTTGTTGGTTACAATGGATATCCAACTTTTGCCTTGGACGCAACACTCTCTGACTACTGTTAGCCCATCTCCTGGTGTTGTCAGCCCACTTATATCGCTGTCTGCATCTTGCACGCATCTTTTTTTTTCCTCTACTGTGATTTTTAGAACAATATAATGTCTTTAATCAGGCTTGGACATTTTTTTTAAAACAAACATAGATGTCGAAGTAAGATAAAGACTGGAGCAAGATCAGTCTTACAGTGAGCAAGTTGCAACAGAGTTAGAATAAGTTGCAGGCACTGTTGCAAAGGAAGCCGAACCTTTTTTTGTCTTCAAAAATGACAAGCTTCCAGGTCGACCCAGCCTTACGTAGGTTAAGTCATGGGAAGTAAAGGCAGCCGGTGTGATGTGGACCTCATCACCCACCGAGTGCTGATGGGTCTAAAAAATATAGGTCAAGCCCAGTATGCCTAATATACATTAAGGGGTGGGATAAGGTTCTTTACTTTACAGCTGCTGGAAGAAAAACAAGGGTGGCTGGCCGTTATTGTTGCTATGAAAGGGGGGGGGGGGAAGAAAAATAGGGGATGGGATGGGATTATGTTGTGTACGTAAGACTGAATCACCTCAGACCTTGTCTTTGGCAAACACGGGCCTTAAAATAACTGGGAGTATCGCCGGAGGTAAAGCTATTTGTAGAAAGGTTGATTCAGGTTAATAATTATAGTCTCTGGTTTTTTTTACAAGGATGGGACTGACTCACTTGAGATAATGACCTGGCCAAAGAATGGTCTCAAAAACCACGGGAAGTATGATCGGGACAATTTTCGATATACACAGGTTCCGACAGGGACAGTCTCTGAAAGGGACAGTTTCAAATTTAATGAAAGTATACCTGGGGGGAGGGGAGAACTTTAGGATTATAACGGGGAAAAAAGAAACTATTTTCTTGCAATGTAAACTCTACAGAAGTTAGCGCTAACTTAAATGTTAAATTAAGAATCGACATCATAGCACTCTGACATTTCCATTAGCGCTCCGTCACCATCTTCAGCAGCAAGCGAAGAGTTCCAATTCTGATGGTACCAGTCACTGTCTGATTGTACACCCGCCTCGCCTTTCCTTTAGCGTTGATGGTCGACCAGCTCTCAAGGTAACTACTCGCAGCTCCATTCTCCTCAGACCACAATGACCCATGTGTACCTGCTCACTGTTAACTCTCTACCGAAGGGTCCACACAATCTCTTATGTTTATCGTACATCTGTTCACCACCAAGTGGTGCAGAACCGGCCAGTCTGTCCGCCTGCTCATTTTCCTAACATACCAGCATGACCTAGAGCAAATAAAAAAAAAAAAAAAAAAAAATATGCTAAATACCCGAGACCTTAAAAGGGAAAGGAGAAATGCCTGCTCTAGTTGTACTGGCATACAAATTATACCAAGAAAACAGTATGGGACAATAAACAATCACGTATAGAAAAATAAAGCGACCATGTAAAACATTTGACAGGGGGAATACCAGCGACCATGTAAAACGATAGACAGGGGGAATAACAGCCACCATGTAAAACGATAGACAGGGGGAATAACAGCGACCATGTAAAACGATAGACAGGGGGAATAACAGCGACCATGTAAAACGATTGACAGGGGGAATAACAGCGACCATGTAAAACAATAAACAGGGGGAATAACAGCGACCATGTAAAACGATCGACAGGGGGAATAACAGTGACCATGTAAAACGATCGACGGGGTAAAACGATAACAGTCACCGACAATGTAAAACAATGGACAACGATAGACGGGGGGGGGGGGGGGGGGGGCGGTGAGGAACAAAATACGTAGAAATCTTCATACAGGAAGCCCAGAAATGGTCAATCACCTGCTCTTCATACTTCATCTCGACACCAGAAAGTAAAGGAGGAACAAGATGAGTGAGTGACGGTGAGATGAAAGCACAGGATGACTGACGTTGAGATGAAAGTGCAGGAGGAACAAGGTGAGTGAGTGACGGTGAGATGAAAGTTAAGGAGGAACAATATGAGTAACGGTAAGCACAGGATGATACAAGGTGAATGAGTGGCGATGAGACGAAAGTACGGGAGAAACAAGATGAATGAATGGAGTGAGATGAAAGTACTTGAGGAACGAGATGAGCGAGGGTGAGATGAAAGTACTAGGGGTGAGGGGAACAAGATGAGATGAATGACAGTAAGACGAAAGTACTGGAGATGTTAGATGAGATTAGTGACTGTAAGATTTAAGTACCAGAGGAACAAAATTAAAGGAGTGAGTGTGAAATAAAAGTACCGTAGAAAGAAGATGAGATGAGAGTGACGGTGAGGTAAAAGTACTGACGGAAACGACAGTGAGATGAAAGTACAGGAGGAACATGAGGAGATGAGTGATGGTGAGATAAAAGTACTAGAAAAACAAGATGAGATGAATGACAGAGATGAAAGTACTCGAGGAAAAAGATGAGTGACGGTGAGATTAAAATATAGGAGAAAAAAGTTGAGAAGAGTGACGGTGGCGAATAAGATGGGATAAATGAGAGATAAGATGATATGACAAAAAAAAACTCAAAGGAGCAAACAAAAGACCAAGAATGAAAAAAAAAAGTCAAACGCTAAGAAACAGAAGCCACACACACACACACACACACACACACACACACACAAACACACACACACACAACACCACCACTAACAACGAAAAATAGGCATAATCTAACACACACACACACACATACACACACACATACACACACACACACAAATACATACCAAGAAACTTATAAAAGTAGAGAGAGAAAAAACCTACCCCCATCCCCTTTTCAAAGACAAAGAAACATACAGTAGACAAAGGAAAAAGCAAAAGACAACGAAACAAACAAAAGACAGCGAAACAAAGAAATGACAAAGTAAAAAACAAAAGACAAAGAAACAAACAAACCACAAAGTAAAATACAAAAGACAAAGAAACAAACAAACCACAAAGTAAAAAACAAAAGACAAGGTAAAAAAAACAATTGTAAAAGAAACTAACAAAAGACAAAGAAACTAACAAAATACAAAGTAACAAGCAAACACAAAGTAACAAACAAAAGACAAAGAAACAAATAAAAGACAAAGAAAAAACAATAGACAAAGTAATAAACAAAAGACAAAGTAACAAACAAAATCTCAAAGAAAGGAACAAACAACAAAGAAACTAGCAAAAGGCAAAGTAATAAACAAAATACAAAGTAACAAACAGAAGACAAAGTAATAAACAGAAGACAGCAAAACAAACAAAAGACAGCAAAAACAAACAAAAGACAAAGAAAAAACAAAATTCAAAGCAACAAACAGTAGAAAAAAAGTAGCAAACAGAAGACAAAGTAACAAACAAAAGACAACGAAACAAACTAAAGACAAAGAAACAAACAGAAGACAAAGAAAGAAACAAAAGACAGAGAAACAAACAAAAGACAAAGCAACAAACAAAATACAAAGTAAAAAACAACAGACAAAGTAACAAGCAAAACACAAAGTCACAAAGAAAAAAAAAGTAACTAACAAAAGACAAAGTAAAAAAAACAAAAGACTAAGCAAAAAACAAAAGACTAAGTAACAAGCAAAAGAAGGTTATCTTGGAAACGCCATGATATGAAACATCAGGGAACTGGTTTATTACGGATCATAAAAAGGGGCAAGATTCAGAGCAGAAGCAAAAGTTTACATCGTCCGACGCAACAAGGGACAAGAACAAGAGCACCTGAACATTCTTTGGAACACACATACATCTCTGCAAACAAGGAGTGCTCGGGAGTCTATGTATGGAGTAGAAGCTGGGCGTCTTCTCACTCACTGACCCACTCACTCGCTCACTCTCTCACACGCACTCACGCACGCACACACACACACTTACTAATAAACAAAAAGTTTATAAACTATTTGAAATCATTCAGAAACTAAAGACTCGGTCTATTATTACACATAGGTAAATGCAGAGATTAGGACTTTGCAAACTGTGGCGTGGCCATTTGTATATATTTGGCACATCCGCACTTAAAATACCGGCACAGTATACGGAGCAGTCACATAAATGTGACCAAAACTATTTTATGGAGTGACTATTGAACTTTTGGCCGCTAGCATTAGTATCTACATATTATAATCAACTGTTCTCTCCTAGTCATCAAAGAATGTTTGGTCTATAGTATTCTGTAGTAATGGTGCATACACATTATAATGGAACATTCGCGGAACTTCTACAATCAGCTGTTCACAAATCATCACCGAAGCCTTGGTCCGCAGGTCAGATATTTAAATATTACAATCCGAGCAGTTACATAGCTTTGACAACTGTTCTCCACGGGTCACCAAAGACATAAAGTTCTCATGCTGCCCAGACCTGACATGGATGAACCCAGCCGACTATTGCCGTGATACAGTCATGGCGGATATGTTCAGTCAGCTGTATGAATACAGCCCTGCTGCGACTATCTAGTGTCCAGTAATCACAAAACTGTAGATGGGTGGCGAAAATTGTCCTTCTGGCTTGAGCATGACGTAAGACAGCGGTTTATGAAAGTCCGTCGCTGCTGATATATAGCTCGGAGGCACATAAGGAAATAAATACTGACCCATCTGCTCATGTCCAGCGTGCTGGAAACTTGACAAGCCCGGATGAGCGTGTCCGCTTAGATACGGTGGGAACAAATGGTTGGTCAATCCACCTGGCAAACGAAGAGCTGGGAATGAAGGATATGTTGCTGTCTCCATTTTTCTTGATCCAGCGGTCGATGCTGCGGAGGCAGCAAACGCTGCTGCTGCTGCTGCTGCCTCTAGGTGAGGATATAGTCCATATGTAGACGTTGGTGGAAGAAAAGGAGTTCGATCTTTCTCTAGAGCACTAGAAGCTGGTGTGGCATACAACTCTGCAGGCTGGCGTGGTGACATCAAAGAGGCATATGATTGCGAGATGGATCCACTCATTGCAGGAATCATCGGATGCATTGTGTAAGAGTATTTGTCTTTCTTCAGCAACGATTTTGGCTTCCTTCGTGGTCTGTATTTATAATCCGGATGCTCTTTCATATGCAGAGCTCGCAGTCTTTTAGCCTCGTCAATGAATGGTCGCTTTTCCTCGTCTGTCAGCAATTTCCATTCAGCACCTAGCCTTTTACTAATTTCTGAATTGTGCATTTTTGGATTCTCTTGCGCCATTTTCCTTCTCTGTCCACGTGACCAAACCATAAAGGCGTTCATTGGTCGTTTGACATGGTCAATGCTACCAGAGAGAACGTCACTGCACGAAGAAGGGCTAGAGTTCTGCCCTGCATCAGAACAAGGAGAAACTACCCTGTCTGGAGACAGCGTTGTCTCGGACCCTGTAGTCATCTTGCTAACATCTCTCAGTTTCATATCTTCCATTTCGTCTGGACGGAACTTTGCTTCAATTAATCACGATATTAACACTCTCCAACTGCCAGATCTGAAGAAAACAAAATGTAGCGAAAACGTTATTAGTTATTATTAGACTATACATGAGAAGCGAAGTCACAAACCTACAGACATCTACTACATTTATCTCTTCTGCGTCGTTGTTTTTATGTTTGTTAAGGAGACAGTGACTCATAAAATGGGCCTGCCTATCTTCTTTTACCCCACAGGATATCACACAAGCGATAAAAACTCGATGACACAAAGTGCCACCATGTTGATGAGGATCACCCGTGGAGAGGTCCCAGAAACCGCGTTCAGATATTAGACCATATTTATGGTCGGTCTATATTGCGGCCCCTGGCAAGAGCCAGAGTAGGGCTTCAAATAAAGAAAAATTGCATCCCACAAAGGAATAAAAAGAAGTAATACGTAGATGGGCCCTAATAGGGTGTCTTTACATACTCTTTAATCCAGGTGCTAGAACAATCAAGTTCAGCCAGAGTAAGTACTCGTTTTTATCTAACATCTGATGTCCTAACCTAGGAAGCACGCACCTATTCAACCCTGTATGTTATCGGTCATGTAATCAAGTAACAAGTAAAGGAGCTTTTTCCCCGCGCTTTCAGGCGAACTGGGCATATAGGGCTAGACCTATATTTTATAGACCAATCGGCACTTGGTGGGTGATGTGGTCAGCATCACGCCGGCCCCCTTTAATGGCAGGATTGTAGCTAGTACCCAGTCATGTCTGGGTCGACCATGAAACCAAGGTATTTTTTTTTGGAAAACAGCTGTCTACCATCTGGACCCGAACCCGCGACCTTAAGAACCGCATGCGAGGGTGTAGCCGCTACACCACGTTGGCCGATTTATTTTTTGGAATAATTCCCAACATCCTTGTTATCACCATGTAACCGCTGCTTATTCTTCATATATACTAGCAGATGGTGGGATGGGGGGGGGGGGGGGGGGGGTGGGATGGGAGGTGATCATGTAGAACAGTGGTTCTCAGCCTTGGTAATGCCGCGACCCTTTAGTACAGTTCCTCATACTCTGGTGATCACCAACCATACAGATCATTTTTGTTGCTACTTCATAAATTTGGTGAATGGGTGTTTTTCGATGATCTTATGCGACCCTTGTGGAAGGGTCGTTCGACCCCAAAGAGGTTGCGACCCACAGGTTCAGATTCGCGGATGTAGAATGGGCATACCTATTCCAAGCAGTATTCCATTCCCAGTGAAAATTAAAGATCACACGTTTGAAAGCTAGTCTTCACCAGAGTCGTTCTCGCGGGGCAACCGGTTAGCAGATAGTGGACGACCCTCGACCACCGTTTCTGGAGGTCAGTGCGCTAACCACTAGTATTGCCGGGCTGTTTCTTCTTCTCAAAGCTTGAAGTTTGAATACCGGATCAACATCATGGCACATGGGTAGTAACCCATAAAAGCTCCGTTCTTCTTCTAACTCTAGCCTGAGTCAGAAGAATCTCAGCACAGTGCACAGGTTCTGTAGCACCAGCGAGGATCCCGGAATAATTTATGTAGAATTTCAACTTCAAATTTGCCTGGGCAGCGCCTTTAGGCTACTCGTTTTGATTTTCTACCGCCAAGGGATTTCTTACGTGCGCAACATTGCACACGGGCGTCCGATCTCACTACCCAGAGACCAGGGGGAATTACAAGAAGTCCAAGTCCACGTGAAAAAAATCCCAGCCCTTAACGAGGATTGAATCCGAAAACTCAGCATGTTCTGTCTTTAGATGTAAACTCGTTCAGACTGCTGTTCGTCCATCTCCTAATATTATCCTTTCCTGTGTATCCGATGTTTACTTCTTGTTAGCTTGCCTTCACATTTTCCACCAAATATGGTTTTTATAAGAGTGTCATGTCCCTCAATGTACCCCACATAATTCATTAGCATTCGCAAGTTAGTTAGTTAGTCGTTACGGTTCTAGCATCACAGCAAACGAGCTTGGTCCATAATTGCTTAACCGCCTATGCCAGTGATTCCAGTCACAAACTGAGTCAGATACGATGGATACTTCAAGTGAATGCCGTAGCCATACAAAGTTTTCTTAGCAAAACACACACGATTTGATCTGGCAAACCATAAGGTGCATGCCTCTTAAACACACTTGCGAGACCAGGCCTCATCACTGAAAATCAGTTTCATTCGACGAATAGCTGGGCGATTAGTAAATTAAAAATTAAAAGGTAAAGTCGGAGTTGTGAACCAGCGTCATTGCACACGGTTATTAACCATAAATGATCTGCCACCAGTACGGACAGCTGATAAGAAATTGTCGACGTCCGCACGTAACTACGTAGCTACAGCGACGTTCCTCCATTCGCCCCAAAGTGTCAACTCTGGTACCCATTTCCTAGAAGCTGGCTGAACCCTGGGAACCGCCCGGTTTCGAACACCGACCGTGGCTGCAGCGAGTCGCAGCTGGATTTGAAAGCGAGCCTCCTATCGACTGCGCTAACGCGGCACTAACCATTCTCCACATGTCCTCGACCAAGCTGCAGCCACGGCCAGCAAATAAATAAATAGCTATAGCAAACGCCTTGTCCCAGGAACACAACGAAGAAATATTGTCCCAGGAACACAACGAAGAAAAATTGTCCCAGGAACACAACGAAGAAAAATATATCACCCATCATTAAAATTATGTACGAATCTGGAACACAGTCAATAACCGATAATCACAGCTCATAGTTCCGCCAGGAGCACTAAAATCACTAGCTCCGGCTGCAAACCAATCTCGCAACATCGAAAGTGGAGGAGAAGCGGCAACGAGAACGGTCAACGTAAGCCAAGTTTTCAACCGTCATCCATTATTATGATCAATGTCGGAACCGGAAGGTCATTCGCGAGTTAAAATCTAATTGTAAATTAAGCCAATGGACAGTGTACAGCCTTTTTTTAAACCATATAACGTTTACTGGTTTTAGCATTCTGGTGACGCCTTACCCAAAAAAAAAAAAAAAAAAACGAAGTGATAAAGACAGCCAGTTGCCTGTGCTTTACAGGACGTCGTAGAACCAAACTCAGCACTTTTTTCTCTCTATCTTTGTGATTTTACAAGGCAAGTTTACGTTCAGTAGTTTGTCATTGCTACTGTACGGTCGGTTCTTGACACCACTGTTGTAACCGACGCAAGGCAGTCTGCTGTCAAATCCCCAGGAGGAACCAGAGGTGGACTGAATTGGAGCAAAAAATTATTGAAAGAGCAACAGGTCACATAGTGTTGCCACTTGATGAGAATGCCCTGGTACCAACTGGCCCAGAGAACCAGGTTGACAAAATAAAACGAGTATGGAGCAAGAAGAAAAACCAGAGAAAATAGAAAACGAATACGTCAAGGACAGCCTTAAAGAAATGAAGATCAACTTTCACAATGTTTTAGAAAAAGCAAACGGAAGATACAACCCCCCCCTCCCCCCGCACTTTCCCCCACCCCTTTCCCCTTTTCTATCAGTCAGATGAGGTAACTGGAGAGACACAAGAAGAAAAAGGTATATAAAACTGTCCAGATAACTTGTTATAATAAACTATTTACGGGTGTTTAGAAGGGCCGAATGTAAGACAGGCCTGCGTGCCCAATTTGTGACCCTTTGAAAATAGTTCGCTAGTTCGTTCGAACTAATTGCACCCTTGTACTTGTTACACTGGGGGGTTTCCGTGGCTAAGTGGTCAAGCTGTTTGCCTCGCACTCTGAAGGTCGTGGGTTTGCTTCACGGCTGAGCCCTTCAGTTGACGAGCACGAATTTTTACGGAGGTCCATGGGGATCGTCGCCGGAGCTACAGAGTTCGTGCTCTATGCGGCGCTCTCGTTAGGTGGCTAGCCGTTCTGCGGAGAGAGACTGAGCCAAATGGGATAAAAGCCGGTGCAATGAAGTCGATCCTCTCGACTTTAACCGTTAACTTCTCACACTTGAAATTGCTCTTTTTGTCGGGTGGGGAAATAAATGCGCCCCTGTACTTGTTTCGTGTACGTTAACGCACTAAGAACTGCTGTGTGTCGGGTGCGAAAACACTATGCGCCCCTGTACTACTAGTTCTGTGTACTTATTACACTAAGAACTGCTATTTGTCGGGTGGGAAAATACAATGCGCCCCTGTACCTGTTACACTGAAAACTGCTCTTTGTTTGAGTCGGGTGGTTCACTCCACTCACTGACCTTGCTTGTAACTGCAGGTTATTGATCTTTCTGCTGCAGGTACTTAGACAAATCCCGGTAAGCTCTACTCACCCTTCCATGACTATCGATTGTGCACAAGTCGTTCTTTCTTTCTTTGTATTCGCCAAAGCACGTATAGGGAACGTCCTATCTTTAGCCTTGCCGTGTCAAAACAACGGTAATTAAATGTTTAACCAACTATGAGAAGGTGTCCGTGGAGAAGTGGTCAAGCCGTTTCCCTCTGGTTCTAAAGGTCGCGGATTCGCTTTTACGGAGTCCCCGGAGGATCATCGCTGGATCTCGAAGTTCGTGCTTTGCGTGACGCTCTCGGCAAACGGCCAGCCGTTCTGCTGAAAGAGATCGAGCCTATGGACTAAAAGCCAATGCAATAAAGTCGATCCTCCCCACTGGCCCAACTTTAGCAAGTAGCCGTGGATATCCTTGACCTGTCAGCATTGCTGCATCTAATCGACGAGGATGCATATACCGAGGCTCCTTTTCACTGGTGAAAGGTTTTTTTTTTTATCCAAGATAATTTCTCTTGTTTCTTATTTTGTAAATGGTCATCTTGTGTGTGTGTGTGTGTGTGTGTGTGTGTGTGTGTGTTTGTGTGTGTGGCGTTCTGCTGCAACTCCTAGAGTCCCATCACCGGTTCTGGTGTCTATGCGTCAAGCTTATCTTTGAATTGCAATCATTATCCATAATTATTATTATCATTTATTATTATTATTATTTTCATCTTCTTCTTTTTCTTTTTCTTATTCTTCTTCTTCTTTCTCCTTATCTTCTTCTTCTTCTTTT